TAATTATGAACTTGCTTTACTTTCACGGAACACATTTTTGGTGATAACAAACAAATGTAACAAAGTAACATATTTACCAACACATGTTCTACGCCACTATACTTACATTTAAATGTGCGCTGCGTCGGTTCAGCAATTCTCCGCAAGGGTTTTTGAAATTGGTCCATGCGTAAAGCATAGTGGGGATTTTAAGGACGCAAAGTCTACACATGTGCAGCCTCGAAATTTCCCCCAAACCAAGGACGCGGCCTCTGTGGAATTCCTAGTATGCTGGAGATTGGAACAGTCCTTCGGCGGCACTCGATAACGTAGCATCCTTGAAATATTGGCTTGGAAGCCAGAATCCTCGAGATTGAGAAAGGGCCAGTCTTCCGGTTGTTGCCTCATTTGAATGACGAATACACACTACCGCCGCCTGCTGGTAAGGAGAGTTATTGCCACTCAAGCATTCACAGTTCGTACGTGCTACTTGGCCGTCGGCTGAAGTCTTTGCGGTGTGTTCCAGTGCGACACGTCACACATTGCCAAAACTTGGCAAAAAATTTGGTCAACTATAATCAGAGATTCACCAGTATTTACTGATGTGTTTTATGCTGTAGAGCGAAACATAAATATCTCTTCGGCTTGTATTAACCACAGACCCTATTCCAGGAATCTAACCAAAAACGCTTAAAAAGAGTAGAGGGAACCGGAAGAGGTAAAATGTTAACTAATTTCCAGGTTTCACGACTCATTCCTGCAGCTCAGTATACAGCCTGTGTGCAGGTCGGAGGTCACCCACCAGTCGGTGCAGCAGCTGGAGCTCCAGTGGAGACACAGTGCTGCTGAACTGGGCTGCGTATGAGCAGGTCTGCTGGCAGCGCTTCAGCAGCTCAAACAGAGCGGCGTCCATGTTCAGAGCTTCGGGGGAGCGGGTCCGGAGGCCTTCAAAGTTCAGGATGGTGGAGCACAAGAAGGTGACCTGGGAAAAATATCAGAAACATGGGTAATCTATCAGGTGCTGGGGCTGCTAAAAAACACTGATGGAAGTTTCACAGTGGGCTTGGAGCAGTAGTGTTACCTGGCTGGTGCGCTGGTTCTCTCGGGCCACCATGGCGCGTCTCTCCCTGATGGTCATCTCAAAGTCCTGCAGGACAGGGGCGAGCGCTGGGTTGGCCCCCCCCGCCCACTTCAGGCGCTGCTCGATGCTCGCCTCCAGTGCCGCCAGCTTTTCCTGAGGACACAGTCAAACTGCATTTTAGTATTCAGCACAAAGAAAAACCATAAAAAAAGGATTTCCTTTTTACCCAAATTACAATAATTGGCAACAAGTGCCAACTATTGCTCAAGGTTCAAGGGTTCAAGGTTCTTTATTGTCAAACTAACATAACTACAGAGTAATTATGTAGTTGAAAATCTTAGGTCAGTGTAAATACATGCTTTATAGTTTGGCATTTCCTTAAATTGATAAAGGCTCCAGTATGGGACCATCTCTAAAGGGGAGGGGCATTTGATTGATGGATGACACACAGTACGGTGTCATGGTCAAATACAGACCTGAATAGCTACGATGGATCCCTCATCCTGACTCAGCTTGTAGAGTTTCTTCTTCATGTTGCTGAGGATGACGGAGCGCGGGGGGATGCTGACACTCAGAGGCTGGTTGTTGGGGCCCAGAACATCCTCATGCTGCCACTAAGGGGGTAACATTCAGAATAAAAAACACATGTATACCTGAAAGTCACTGCGCTGACTATTTATTCTTTAGTCTGTAACCTTTTTTTTTAAATATATGACATCATCACTAACTCAACTTGCTAGTGTAGCTCACATCTATTACAGGTTGATCAGAAATAAGAGTACTTTATTCATCCCGGGGGAAATTAGGTTCAGATTACAATCGCTCCATTTAGAATGAAATAAAGTAAAAGATACATTGAACAAAATGGAATGATTAAAGTTAAAGTAAGAATGTCCAATAAAATAAATATTTTTTATATTATTATTATTACACAAACAATTAAGTATAAATCCTCAGCCTTGTGCGTTATAAGATTCATTTGTTCCTGGTGACTGAGTGTACCTGGAACATGGCGATGTGCAGCTGGCTCCTCTGCAGGCTGGCCTTGGCGGCCTTCAGGTTTGCGTCCAGCCTCCTCAGCAGGTCCACCTTCTTCCAGGCCGTGTCGTAGGAGGAGGCCAGCACCGTGGCCCTGTTCAGCAGCAGCTGGGGGACCCGCCCTGACGCCAGGCTCTGCTCCACCGCCTTCTTACACAGCTCATCCAGAGGCACCTTCAGACAGAGCAGACAGGGGACTGCTCACACACTGACCATCGCAGGGAACTCTATTTACACATGTTCAACACTAAACCCTTCTTTAAAGCAAATATACCCAGCCAATCCCTTGTTAGCCAAGAGTTTAATATCTTCGGAAGATGAAGTGCACTGAGTCCCAACTCACAAAGTGACTGGATTTATGCCTATAAAATTACCCTCCGCTGAAACCCATATGCAATTGGTTTGGAATAGTTTGACACATGCATATCATCAAAATGTTCTGCTTTGAGCGAAAACGCCATTCCTTGAGTATTTGAATTTTTCTTTGACAAAACAATTTATTTTACACTCTACTCAATAGGATGAGTTCGTAAAGGTTTGGTATAAAAATACTGGAAAAAAATGCACATTAATCCAAATGGCCAACTTCTGGGTGGGTGTGGCTAATGAAAGCCCATTTGTAATATGTTCACAGTAGAGCAAAGTTGATACCAAATGTCATGAACATCAGAGAAACTATATTGGGCTTCCACCCAGTGCGGGGGGCTACATGTTATCACATTTACAAAATACCTGTACATTAGACCAAAGGTCTCGGGGTCTGTTGTACCTTGTTCTCTGCTCCGAAGTCTTTGGCCTCCACCTGAGCCACCACGTCGAGGCCGAGAGCCGACAGGGTGCTGCAGAGGGCCAGACCCAGAGCCTGGCCCGACAGACCCATCAGCATCTGCCGGACAAACTCCGCCGTGAAGGCCTTGATGGGGCGGATCATCTGCTCCTCGCTCACCACCGCCACGCCTGGCCCTGAGGCACTGGGCCGCCGGTATAGAGGCTTACCCAGAGCAATAGGGCCATTTGTAGGCATCAGATCCTCAGGGGGGGGGCAGGTACCTGAACAAACAAGATGTCACACACTCTTTCGACAGCAGGTACATGAGATGATGAGCAAAGTTCCAACATGGTAAATGTTGGTATGGTAAATATTCCTGTACAGCATGAATAGGTCTGACCATTGTGATATGTTACTGCATGAGGGGAAAATCAAACATGTCTTCCACAATTCTTGTATAAAGTTTAGCTTTAAAGTGTTGCAGTTATGACGTATTTCTCTAGGCTGATCCGGAAGTTAGGATTACAGGGGCTCCCTAAAAAAAAAGCAATGGAATTTTTCCATTGGAATTCAGAATTATTGCAGTAAATAAAACCAGTGTCAAACAGGTCTATGATACTTACACATTTTGTTCAGCAGGATCATGTCCACATATTAATAATCGTTATGAATATTGATGCGTAACGCAATCGACAGAAGTGAAAGCTAACCTTAGGCTATAAAGGAACTACAACACAGTCACTTGACTTCACTTCGCACCCTCTAAGTTAAAGCAGCTAGTGTTTGGCATGGTGTTTATTAGCTTCTTTTAGACACGTTATAGCAACTGACTGTTTGTCAGATGCACAAATGCTTCAGACACTCACCAGTGGGATATTTACTGATGTATTTTATGTCGTAGAACAAAACGTGAAAATCTCTTCCAAGCATTTCAACACGTTACAAAAATAAATGTTAAATTGCTCACTAAATTCTGTACTTAAATTCTTATTTAGTTATTTATTTAGCATGTGACTGTTCATAAGTGAGTGGGTGGGGGCTGATCATTGGTCTGAAAGAACTTGCTGAGTTCATTGTGAGTCCTCAGCTACTTGTATCAGTGCAGAAGTCTCACCAGACAGAGTCTGAGCGAAGGAGGCACACAGCCTGAAGAAGTCCCTGATGGTCTGCAGCCTCTTGAGGAAGAACACCTCCTCCATGAGCTGTCTCTGACTCGGGTTGTCAAAGAAGTGAAGCTGCGTGGCTCGAGCCTCCCTCAGGACATCGACCTTCCTCCAGGCCAGCGGCAGCTCTAGTGAGCTCAGCTGAAGGTGGGGAAGAGGAGAATGTGGTAAGGGAATGAAGGTAACTGCAAATAACCGTTAATCATACAAACAATCTAGAATGGAAGCATGAGGATGGGAAATCTCAATATAAAACTACTATCTAACATCTGCAAGAAGGTTAAGGGTTACCTTCTCTGTGAGCTGTCCGAAGGCAGTCTCCAGCTGAGTGAACATGCCATCAAAGGCCACCAACAGCATCTGCCCCGCAGACATCTTGGGTGTGTCCTGCCCCGGCCCCTCCATGCTGCGAGGCTGGATCAGCTCAGAGTACTGGGCACGCAGCATCCTGAGCACAAACAAACACATTTGGTCAGACTCTTTTGTGAAAAACAAACTATCAAACAAGGTTATCATGAATCCTGAAGATCCCCAAATCAACATGGTGCAAGTCAGTACTTTCCTGCATACAATTCCTGTAATAAGAGGGGCCCTATTATGCTAATGTTCAGGTTGATATTTGTATGTTGTGCCTTTACTGTGTTAAATAACTCAATGTTAAAAAAAAAACCTCCCTCTGGAGTGAACACAGGGATTTGAGCCTTTGCAGACCTTTTACATGCACTAACACCGAGAGAACACACCACAGGAGAGGGGAAACCCCAACATCAGAATAGGGACCCTTTAAAACCAATGAGAGGATATTTATAAATTTTCAGATAATGCAAATTCACATTGATCAACTTGGCGTGATTGTTTTGTATTAGTTCTGCGATAAAATTCGACATTGTCCCATTCGAAGGTTTTCGATCACTTAAAGGTGGGGTAGGTAAGTTTCAGAAACCGGCTCGAGTGCACTAAAATTTGAAAGTACACAGCCAAAAAGAATCCGCCCCTTCCTTCAGATTTCCTTACAGAGCACCTCCTCCGCGAGAGCAGGCTGCAGTAACGTTACATATCAGGCAAAGCTAAACACATCTAGGTTAGCAAATACTACACAGCCAAAGCAACTCCGATATTGACTCCGGTTTGACTTCTCCTAGTTTCCACTTTCTTTTTGTTCTTAATTTGCTCCGTTACATTTTTTCTTTTGCGACCAGTAGACGATGTTGAACCTAACTCTGCCATGGTGAAAGTGGCCGCCTGTTGCTGGCGAGTCATTGAAGTACTGCTGCAATGCAAGCCCAATGACGGCACGCCCAATGAGGGCACGAGATACATTTGTGCGTGCACGAGATGGAAGGCTGACAGACAGGGCGGCAATCCAATCCAATTGGTTGTAGTTTTTACAGTATTACAGGTTCCACAGATGACAGTTTTTTATGGATTTTTTGTCAAAGCACTTAAGATATTCATTGCTATCGGGATGTTAACAGCATTCCATGGAATATAACAAAAAGTGTATCTCGAGCCGGTTTCTGAAACTTACCTATTCCACCTTTAATGCCATACAATTTTATACTCATGGATTTGTCAACAGTCTCTGAAATAAGGAACTTATAAAAGAGGACAATGAAAATACACAAAACTATTTCAATAAAAATAAATAATAATAAATAAATTATAACTGACAAGATAGGGAAAATAAGTCAAAGCAATTTAGTTTTAATACCTTTAAAGTATTCGATTTCTGCTGCATTTGAGCTGTGAATCTGTCATGTTAAACACCTCATTCAACTTTTGTTGCCATTGATTTATGTTCGGTGGTTATGGCTGTAACCTGATTGAAACAATATAGATCACACTGGAATATGGACCAGCAGATTTTTGTAGTTTTGCCTCTCAGGACTTCCGTTTGTAAATAACATGTCTTTGTCTTTTCACTTAGTTCTGTCAGGCCCACAACTTTGAGTATCTGACGGGTCGTGTGTGGATTGGTTTCTGGCTCATCTTCATCGTCCTGGTGATGGTAGCAGCGGAGGGAAGCTTCCTCGTTCGCTTCATCTCACCCTTTACCCAGGAAATCTTTGCTTTCCTCATCTCTCTCATCTTCATCTATGAGACCTTCTCTAAGCTCTTCAAGGTAAACGCCAGATGTCACACAGCACACTGAGTTAGAGAAGAATTTGGACAATAAAGAAAAGCTTTTTATGCAAATCAAAATCCTTATAAGTTTCAGTCCTTCTATTATCATATCTGGAAAGAGCCGCTGCAAATAAGTAAGACTGTCTTTTTGTTTCCAGGTGTTCAGGGAGCATCCACTGATGGCTACATACTCAAGTGACCCAAACTCAGCTGAAGAAGTTAATTACCACCTCCTCAACCAGCCCAACACGGCTCTCCTGTCTTTTGTCCTCATGATTGGCACTTTCTTCGTGGCGTTCTTCCTCAGGAAGCTCCGAAACAGTCGTTTTTTAGGTGGCAAGGTACCCTGCTTTACTCAGTCTATTAACCCTCTGAGACCCACATACATTTCCGTTTTTGTATATTTTTGTGTTTTGCCTTATAAATTGTCATTTCTTTGCAGTATAATCGAGTTTTACACATCCCAGAAATCAGCAAAACCTCAGCTCTTAATATATGTCACTCATTAGAGACGTATATACACTATAATAGGAAATATTGGCCAATAAAAAGAAAAAAAAGAAAAAACGGAGCTTGAATCTTTTACTTATTTCATTATTAACTGCTAACCATAACATTGAAAGAAACATTCAACACAGAAAATTGCACACATTATTATCATTGTATCAGAACTGATTAGAAGATTCTAACTTATTCTGTTCATTAGTTATGCCCATTCTTTTGGGCAGTGTCCATGGGCGTTTTTGCGAGGAATTGTAAAAAAGATTCCTGCCAATTTTGAAGAGTACACATGATATATCATGTCCACAATCACACATCGCATACTGAGCAGATTCGTCAGAATTTTCATCAACATTGTCCCCTTGAAAAATCAGCTCCAAAGCCTCAGCTGTAGTAACTCTTCCTTGCCATACCTCAGTTTAATTTCAAAACACTAAAATAACGTATTCCAACTTTTATTTTGTTTTTGCGCGTGCAATTATACCGGCTCTCTTTTCAGTACACAAAACAACGGAACTGACAGGCAACCCTCTGAATCAGACTCCGATTGGCTGTGACTGTATCCACTCAGAGTGTCCGATTCAGAAACGTGACTGTTACACTATTTACGTCACAAACAAAGATGGTGGATGAGAATAGCTCTATAAAACAGAAAACGAGAAGCTCAGACAACTCAGACATGAATGAGGTGGAAGGTTTGGGGGGGGGCGGTAAATGAGGACAACCTGCTGCTTTGAGGGAAAGCAGCCTTTCTACTATTATACTCTCTGAATATCTGTTCATTTTAAGTCAATCTAAAAGGTTAGATCAGCAAAGCTAAATGTCATTTAATATTCTGTTAGCATAGCAACAAAACACTAAAAAAAGCTTCAATGTTGTCCTGCTTTTATTAAAAACCAAAAAAAAGTGTATCATTTGGTGTTAGGGTCTGGGAAGACCCAGCAGCATTGTTGTGGGTGACTCTGGGTCCAATTTGGCCCAATCAAG